TTGTTCAAATACGCAGGCACAAGGCATGTTGTAATGAACCTTTTTCTCTTACTTAGTAATTCAATGCATTTTATCCAGTTCAAAGAAATTTTTCTTGTATATTTGTGTATTTATACATGCATAGGCACAAGGTATGCAATACAAATATGTCGTACAGGTCACAAGGTTGGCTCACTCACACGAGCAACTGCCTCGCTATGTTCTCATGGGATATAGAAGGTTTGACAGCAGATGATCACCATGAGATGGTAGAGAAGAATCACTGCACGAATGTCACCTCAGCTAGACTGAGATGAGACCCATAAAAGGTTTGGGCCGAATCATGGATAATGTGTCATCCATGAGACCTGTAGCCAGACAAGGAACTCTTTACTAGTGAGACGTCATATATAGTTGTGATGAAAGAGCTCCTGGTTCAAATGTTGGAGTACATTTGGAACTTAAGTCTGTACGGTGCTATTAAAACCAAAAGCGACATACTCCACTTAGTGGATTGAGCACCGTAACATGCAATTCATACTGCATGAGCTCACTTAAATCCGCAACAAGGGACGTAGATGGAAGATCCCTGATCCATTACGATGTGAGTCCCAGAAAGGAAATAAACCTTTCATAATGCCCTTAAGACTTAGACAACATCACAAGGTTTTGGTTTAGTGGCAGCTACTCTAGCCTAAACCCCATGGTCAAGAATGATGCGATCTAACGGGTCAAGACTGAGAAAGCGACTATGCCAAATCTAAATGATGAACAGTCAGAAGGAAGATTTATCCTAAAATACACATCTACGTTGGTGTCTGTGACATGTCCCTTGCAGGTTGAACAGAACAACTAAGCAAGTGTGGATACCATACGTATGAAAAAGGCAATCTGAGTAAACAAAATAACTCGAGAGGGATTAGATATGCCACAAGTAAAGTGTATGGATAAAACTAGGGCATTCGAGGCAACAAGCATACAATTTGCAGGTACACCAAGGGTATTCTTGTGTACTGGTCCTGCATAAAGGATTCCTAGTGCACAGGTGCCCGAATCGATGACGTCATGCCCACGCGGTCACGGCAGACACCTAGTATGAAGCAATGAAAGATTTAGCTATCGCACGATGGACAGCCCATCAAGTGCGAGTGGGAGATGTTAGATTTTTGGGCTTGGATCCGCCCTTGATGGGCCGGATTATTTGACCGGGTATAAAGAGAATATATCAGTCAAATATCCAAGCGATATCATGATATGTTTGACTTGGTCAAACATCCTGAATCATATCCAATCGGTTACGATATAAATCTAATTAATTTATATTAAATTAATTAATTTATATTGTATAGATTAAATATATATTAAGTATATATATTTAGAATTAATTGTGATTGATTCTGGATTTGAATTCAAAATATCATGATATTATGAGATAAGGATATATTATCTTATCTCAGATTTTATCTGATGGGCTCAGTGGATATTTTTATGCTACCCAAAATATCCCTGACAAAAGCTATAAATAGAAGCTTCCCCCCATCAGTTCAAATCACTCCAGTAGTAGAGTTTTCCTACTATCTCTCTCTCTCTTATTTTCTTTCTTGCAAAAGTGGTGCTCTGCTGTGCACTTAAAAGCTCAGACTTTTATAGTCTAGCTTAAGCGTGAGCTAAGGAGATCCGACCGACCCGACCCGAGATCCGACCCGGTATGTTTTCGATCCATTCTCCAATTTTTCTCACAGGATTCATTAAATAACCCATCTAGCGGTGTTTATCTTTTCTCCTCCTCTGTTCATGAGAAAATCAGTTTGTCATCTTCTCTGCCTCTGTTCACGAGAGAGCCAATTCGTGCTCCACATTTTGATTGAGATGGAGGCGATCACTGTCACTGGACTTTCATCACAAGCCTCCTTCTCGCTTCAACCCTTACGTAGCAAAGAGAACAGCAAGCAAGCAGTACAATCCAAGCTCTCTGACCATCTTCACCACTGAGCTCTGAGTCGACACCACAACCTTCTTGACTATGGCTTACATCTTAGCCGCCACTGCCTCCATCTTGATTGATTTGATCATTCTTGCTCTGTTTGTTACTCCGTCTTTCTCTTTTGACCATCCCCATTTCGAATTGCAATGGCACGTCTTCATCGAAGGTTTGATCTTCTTGCTTTTTCTCAAAGGTTTGCATGCTAAACTCATCCCCAAATAGGTCCGAATCATCTCCTTTGCCAGAATCGGACTCTTCCTTACAGTCATCAGCATTCAGAACAATCAAGTTTAATTGGGTACAGTCCATCCACCCTACTCGGCATGGTGGGTTGTAGCTTCGGTTGGGGGATTTGCGCCTCTTGAACGGAGGGAAAAAAGAAACACCGTTAAATGATGACCTGTTTAGTGAATCCAGATCGCGGTTTTTAATTGGAGAATTTTGTCCTTTTTTCAAAGATACTCAATTCTTTTTAATGGTGTGCTTTTAAATTCAACCCAATCATAGGATCATTGACCATACAAAATCTTTTTGAGCTGATGCATATTTTTTCGATAGAACAGAAAATTTTGCATTAAAATATAAAAATATGATAAACAAATCTACTTAGCGTTTTCAATAGAACATCCTATTATGATGTAGTATCTTAATGTTGGAGAATTCAACAATTTTACAGAACATGGGATCCTAAGTGTTTGGATTAGCTTTTAGAAATATTTGAAATACATTAAGATGAAAATTTTTTCACATATTTATTTCGTATATCATAAAATTATTTAAGAAAAAAAGCTAATCCAAACACATTGTAAAATTTTATTTAAAAAAGCTCATCCTATTCGAGGAGACTTTTTTATGAAAAATCTAATCACCCAATCACTATATGTTTTCATCTGAAAGTGATGGAAATGATAGTTATACATACAAGGCTGCATAAAGATCAGGTTGAACTGGGTTACGACCTAACTTGAAGTTTAATCTGAAAAATGATGGGTTAAAAATTTTGGTCTGAAAACTGGTTCAGTCTTGTTACAGACACTTAGACCGGGTTGGACTTAGTCTACCGGGTTACTAGACTGATCTATGTTGCTTTTCTCGTTATATATACTTTTAGGAAAACGTATTCTTTACTACAAAAATAATACATGCTGGAAGCTAAAAAAGAATTGACCCACATTGAAAAAAAGCTGAAATATATAAGAAAAATTGAAAAGAAATAGGAAAGTGACCATAGAATAATAGCCACCTTGACACGAATAAACCCAAAGATGATGGCAACGGAAGAAGTTGAAGCAAAAACGGCCAAACAACAAACATGAACTAGAAAGATGCTCATGCGAATTTGAAGACCATGGCAAAGGAAGACACGAATTGATTTTTTTTCTTCTTTGGGGGGGGGGGGGGAAGCAAAAGATGTGAATTGAAAATGTTATTTTATGGCAAGCTGCGGTAGGAACTGACGGTAGAAAGGGATGAGCAGTGCCTGTGTCGGAGAGAAAGGAAGCAAGAGAAGGACTAAGGCAAACACAAAATTAAGTACATATTTTTTTTTGGAAAAAAAATCCTACCTAAGTCGGGTCAAACCACATGGTCTGAACTATTAGTCATTAACCTAGTCTCATCCGATAGTTTAGTGTGAAATGATTGGTCTAGTCTTTTTATCGGGTTGTATTTTTCAAAACTAGAGTGGACGGGGTTGTGTCAGATTGGACCAGGCAGATTGGGTTTTGAGTATTTTTGCATGGCCCTACACACATATATACATATATACATCATAGTATTGAAAATGAGACCGAACCAGCCGGGTTGGAGTGAAAATTGGCAAACCGGTCGCTTGAAAAACCAGCAGGCGGATCCACCCCATGTGACCCGGTCAACTCGAGAAAAAATCAAGTAACTCAACCGCTTTGGTGGGTTAATCTGGTTATGTTTTTTTTTTAAATTCTTTTAATGCTAAAAAATTATTAGTTAGGGACTAAAGGATTGCAGATCGGAGTATTTTACTGCGATAAATCTATTTTGATATTTTGCTTGAATAAATAGTTAGTCATTTTAATAATATGATACTATGATGTCATTTTGTCAAGGGAATTGTAAGAAAAATGAAAAGAAAATATAAGTGTATAATTTTTTTTGGTTAGAAATTCAAGGTATTAAATTGATGTTTAGTCCTTTGGATGGCATAATGAAACTGTAAATTAATTTTTTTATTTTTTATTTTTTTACTAGTTTGACTTCGATCTAACCCACTAACTCTTGACCTATTGTCTTGACTGATTTATAAGTCGATCCGGTTTTCAATATCTTGGTATATATCTATCTAATATCTTAAATTTTATGTTATAAATAAATACTCAAAAATTTTATAATAATTTTTTTAATTTTTACATTTATGCAAACAATTTTAAGCACACCGCAGTGTGTGTGGATTTTAGTGGAATAATGTTTTTTTTTTTTGAGCTACAGAGACAAACTAAGCTTGAAACGAAGGAAAAAGAAGATAAACACTAGACGCCAAACTAATAACTAAGGAAAAGACAAAAAAAGAAGACCGTCAGCTAAAGCCATTTGGCTTATCCTGAAGAATCAAATCAGCATAACTTTCTGGCACATCTACGATCAACTTGACGCCGAACGCTTGTTCATGTCCTTCCTTCGCCAGGTAGTCAGCACACCTTATAGTATCACGACTAGCATGGTGCAGTTCTATTCCCTCCTGAGCAAATATGGAATAATGTTTTCTAATTTTGGAATTTGGATCAATCTCATGCAAAAGCGCAAATATAGATATATATACCCGTCGCATTTCTGACTTCACTTTCAGTGTGATAAATTTAAACTTAAAATAGAAGAAATACAAATTAAAAAAAAAACGAATTTCTTCCTTCACTATTTTTTCATTATTGCATTTGCGTTCCGTGTCGTAGATCTGATCCCGTGGGAGAAGATCAGGAGATCTGATCTTGTAAGGTCAGGCTATTTGCTGAAGAATATCGAAGGAGTAGTATAATTGAAAGGACAAGAATTTCACACGAGAGCAATGCTATCGAGTAGATTTTCCTTTTTAGGCGGTCGAGATTCGGGTAGGGAAGATCATTCTCCGAAGGTCAAACTCCTTCCTATATTGAAACTCGAAGCAGATAAAGAAGTATATCGTCCTGGTGATCCAGTTGTGGTCACCATCGAGATCTCCAATCCATCTACTGCGTATTCATTTTTAGTTGAAAGACTGAGTTTTGAGATTAAAAGCATTGAGAAATTGGATGCTCAATGGTTTGCCACACAGAAACCGTTGCTAGGTTCAAAGCAAAAGAGAGGTTCGTTTCATGAACTTGTTCTTATTGTTGGTCTATTGTTGTTTGCTTAGCCTTCTAGCAACCAACAAGCATTGGTACTATTATGTCAATTTTTGTGCTTGGGGGAATATGTTTTCATGGACGGTTCAACAACTGCCATGGTTGCCGTTGGATTTTGGGCTTGGATCTGCTCTTGATGGGCCAGGTTATTTGATCCGGTATAAAGAGAATATACCATTCAAATATCTAAGCGATATTGTGATATGTTTGACTTGGTCAAACATCCTGAATCATATCCAATTGGTTACGATATAAATCTGATTAGTTTATAATAAATTAATCAATTTATATTGTATAGATTAAATATATATTAAATATATAATTTAGAATTAATTGTAATTGATTCTGGATTTGAATTCAAATATCATGATATTATGAGATAAGGATATATTTGTATATCCTATCTCAGATTTTATCTGATGGGCTCAGTGGATATTTTTGGCTACCAAAAATACCTTTGATAAAAGCTATAAATAGAGGCTTCCCCCCATCACTTCAAATCACTCCAGTAGTTGAGCTTTCTTACTCTCTCTCTCTCTCTCTTGTTTCTTTCTTGCAAAGAGGTGCTTACTGTGCACTTAAAAGCTTAGACTTTTATAGTCTAGCTTAAGCATGAACTAAGAAGATCCGACCGACCCGACCCGAGATCCAACCCGGTATGTTTCCGATCCATTGTCTAATTATTCTAACATTGTTGTCAAAGCCATGATGATCTTGAGGCTTTCAATATCTATGCATATATTATTCAGACTCAAATTTTTTTTTCGCTGCACCGTTAGTATGCTCCTATGTCATTTTAATTTCGAATGAGCATATACTTGTGAGTTAAATTCGAAAATATACTCTGACTATATCATTGAAGCCTGAAAATACTATATGTAATGCCATGAGGTTCAAAAACGTGGTCGAAATCCATTTTTCAAAGGCTCCAACATCAGCTGTACGAACCAGTTTTTGGGTCATTAAAAATGATATTTTTTAAAGAAAATGAACCCATAGAATTGTAGAGCATGAAAATACGAGTTCATAGAAACCTAAAATGCGTAAAACGGAGATTGGAGGTAGAAGATATGGAGGTTTGAAGCTGGCAGGTCGCGACGGACCCACTGGAGCTCCAGCCGAATCTGGGGCGACCCGACTAGAGGTCAAGGACGACCTGACCAGCCCAAAACGGCGTCGTTTTGGGTTGGCCAAGACATAGTGTTTCACTTACTGCGTTTTGGGTCTGTTTAACTCGAATCCTCCATGAAAGTCGGGTCGGTAGATCGACCCAACCTAAAAACAAAATTTTTTTGATTTTTTAAAGATGCACCAAGTGGGCATGTGGGATCCACCCAGGGTCCCTTTGGTCATAAAAAGCACATGTATAGACTCCTCAAGACGTGAGGAATCAAATGGAATGGGTCAGGTGACGGCGAGAGGCCGGAAAGGCATACACGCGCTGGTCCTGAGAGTGGGCGACCCTCCCCCATATTTGTTTTTAAAGTTTTTTTTGGGAATGCTTATTGGGGCACATGAGGGCGCATAGGGCTTATTTTTGGACCCTGTTTGACCTGAAATATTTCTAAAATCATGAGCTACAAATTGATATATTATGTTCTTATTTTTTATGACTTTTTGGGTACGAAAAATAGCAAATGAATGTTTTGAATATTTATTTTTATATTTTTCTTAACTTAATTTTCTTTTTGGGTTTAGGAAATGGCAAACTCAAATTCTAACCACTCTTTTGAAATATATCCAAGTTATTCTCCTCTTTCTGATGCTCCAAAGTCTTCAAATAATTATGCTGAAGAAAGTACAAATAAAAGAAAAACGCCTCAATCACGAGTGAACTCTAATGTACCTGAGGGGAGCAGTGGTAAAAGGAAATGTGTTCCTGACCAACAAGAGGAAGAAGTTTGCAGACCCAAGGACATAAATTTAATAGAACAAATAGCAGAAAAACATGCTGATGAATACAAGCATAAAAAATGTCTGTTTTCAAAATTGAGTTATTATGCTAAACAAATTATCAATGAGCAAGACGCACTCTTTTTCTCAAAAATTGCAATCCAATACAGAGAGGAATTGGCAAGGAGGGAACACATATTTAGTGAAGGATTTTTGTAAACAAAGTCTTTGTAGATGTTGGAAAGACGTTAAAGAGAGTTTGAGAGAACCCATGATAAAATACATCATGAACGAATGAGTTTTTGTTCGTGTTTATTTTTCCCTTTTCATTTTATGTTTACACTTTGAGACTTTATTTTTGGATTACCCAAATCTTTGTAAACATTTATGCTTCGTTAATAAAGTTTTTTTATTATAAATGCTTTATTTGAGTGGGAGTTTCATGAGGAAAACTCAAATTGGGGATATGATCAAGGAAAGTGAAAGATAAGAAAGGTAAGAGGCTAACCAGGAGTAATGAGATGGGAGCCAACCTAGTTGTCTCCTGATCATGAAAATAGCAAGACTCTTACCTGGACGATCTATGACTTACTTGAATAACATGTATATTGCATACCATACTAAAATGCATTGTTGTCTATGTGATAGCACGATGTCTCAAAGAGGAATCAAGTCTATTATAGCTGACCTCGTAGGAGGTGACAAGCTAAACAGAGACAATTACAGCATGTGGCGTCATAAGATATCATATGTCCTCGAAGAACAAGAAGTCATTGATGTGTTGACAATTTTTCTTCCAAAGCCTAAGGCGAATGCATCACGAAGGGACCAGGATGGCTACGCGGCCTAGAAAAGAAGGGATACTATTGCCAGAATTACTATGCTAAGTGCCATGACTGACGATGTGTTAGTACAATTCGAAACACACCCTTCTGCCTCTGCCATGTGGGCAGCGCTGAAATCTGAATTTGATGGTACCTTTGCTGCAAGGCTTAAGAGACACACTGTCAAACTTGACAATTTCAAGCTAGGTCCTAACACTCCCATAAGGCATCACCTAAGGGTAATACAGAACTTAATCAGGGAGCCTAAGGAAGCCGGAGGTGCCTTATCTGATGAGTAACAGATTCAAGCTGTCATGAGATCTCTCCCAGCAAGCTGGGACACCATGAAGCATACCATTACTCATAACAAGAGTATAAAAACCTTTACTAATGTAGCTCGCCACCTCCAACTAGAGGATAACTGAATGGAAACTGTGAAACCTGTTAGTAAGGCATATTTAACTAAAGGAAAGGGAGGGGCAACCTCCCAAAACCAGTCCAAGAGAAGCAAAGGCTCTCAAAATAAGAAAGGCAACCCTAAAGTGAAGAAGGAAAAGAATTCCTTTAAGAAAGGCAAGAAACCTGCAAAGAAGCAGAACATAGCAACCATCAAATGCTATGCTTCCAAAAGAAGGGGCATTATGCCAAGGACTGTCTTAAGCAGAAAAAGATATTGGATTCAGATTGATACATTCCTCTTATATTTCTAGCACTGCATTTATTACTAAAACTAATCTTGTTTGGGTTATAGACTCAGGGGCCATAGACCATGTGAGCAAGGATCGTGGCAACTTCACAGAATTTTGTCGATTACCAGCAAGAAGCAGATGGCTTTATGTTGGGAACAATACAAGAGTAGAAGTCAAAGGGATCGATACTTGTGAGTTGACCTTGTTTGACCTGAAATATTTCTAAAATCATGAGCTACAAATTGATATATTATGTTCTTATTTTTTATGACTTTTTGGGTACGAAAAATAGCAAATGAATGTTTTGAATATTTATTTTTATATTTTTCTTAACTTAATTTTCTTTTTGGGTTTAGGAAATGGCAAACTCAAATTCTAACCACTCTTTTGAAATATATCCAAGTTATTTTCCTCTTTCTGATGCTCCAAAGTCTTCAAATAATTATGTTGAAGAAAGTACAAATAAAAGAAAAACGCCTCAATCACGAGTGAACTCTAATGTACCTGAGGGGAGCAGTGGTAAAAGGAAATGTGTTCCTGACCAACAAGAGGAAGAAGTTTGCAGACCCAAGGACATAAATTTAATAGAACAAATAGCAGAAAAACATGCTGATGAATACAAGCATAAAAAATGTCTGTTTTCAAAATTGAGTTATTATGCTAAACAAATTATCAATGAGCAAGATGCACTCTTTTTCTCAAAAATTACAATCCAATACAGAGAGGAATTGGCAAGGAGGGAACACATATTTAGTGAAGGATTTTTGTAAACAAAAATCCTAGCCCTGCAAAATGTCCTCTATGCTCCAGAAATCTGACAAAATCTTGTGTCTGTTATTTCCTTAGTTAAATTTCATTTCAATGTCTTTTTCATGATTTCACGTAGACATTTTGTATGGGACCAATTTTTCAGTTTCTGGTAATGTTTCAGATGGTTTCTTTGTTTTAGAAAATTTCAATGACAATTTTTCTAATTTTTGCTATGCACTTTCTTCTGATGTCAATTACGATCTATGGCACACTAGATTAGGACATATTGGTCAAGAACGCATGACCAAACTAGTAAAAGAGGGTTTGTTAGGAAACATGTCCAAAAAGAAAATGTTTCTGTGTGAACATTGCCTCGCTGGCAAGAGCACAAGGAAACCTTTCGGAAAGGCAACCAGGGCTAACCACCCTCTTGAACTGGTACACTTTAATATTTGCAGACCAATGAGTGTTAGGGCATGTCACGGAGCATGGTATTTTATTACCTTCATCGATAATTCTTCCCGATATGGCTATACTTACTTGATTTCCCACAAATCTGAGGCATTAGAGTGCTTTAGAAAATATCTCAATCTAGTGGACAATCAGCTAGGTTCAAGAATCAAAGCTTTAAGAACCGAACAAGGTCGAGAATACCTCTCTGATCAGTTTAAGGAGCTCTGTGAAGAAAGGGGTATTGTTAGGCAACTAACAATCTCTAGCACTCCTCAACAAAACAAAGTTGCTGAAAGGAGAAACAGAACTCTCCTCGATAGGGTTAGATCAATGATGACATAAACTGAGCTTC